TCCACTCTAAGAAACTATTCAGTAACCTTGAGGCTTGAAAACAAGCATGCAAAATGTAAAGGTTTCTGAGATAATCTCCTCCTCATTTCCAGGCCTTTCTTACTATCATCACAGAAAGCAGCAGCTGGTGACTAACATTAGCAAATAAGGCCTGGGGGTACTGTTCTTTATTCACCAAATGCTGTTCAGTGAAACAGCTGGATCAAAAGCAATACAGCCAAGTTTTATGTTTACAACTGTTCAGATTTAGATTGTCTGCTAGAGGCAGAAATAATGATAGCTTTGAAGGCTAATATGTTTGACTAGAATAGAGTTGTTGAAAGGAGAAAGTAAAGAACCAGTTGTTTTTCAAAATTTCAAGATTTCTTTTTAAACCTACAGTTGTCAATATATAATATTTTTCTTGCTCTGTCCTTTCCCATCCCTGATTATTCTAATGTTGTGGTTAAATTTATACACATCTGTAGAAAACCTTTTAAAAGTGATAACTAATGCCACATGATTCCACTTCAGAATGTGTTGGTGTTTGAAGAAAAATTTGACACAAATTCTGGATACAATTACTCTATTCAGATATTTTTGGCAACTTTAAGTCCTGTGGAATTCACTTCCAGAATTCCACAGCTTGTATGTTACTCTCTGTATAGATACATATATTATGCCATGGTCCTCCAAATTTGTGATAATCTTGTGCTGGGATAAAATAATATTTGCATTTATTCTACTTATAGTTAGTAACTTTTAAATTATTTCTGTGAAATGATGCGTTCCTTTGGCCTCTTTCAAAAACCAAGTCAGGACTTCTAAGATTGCCATCATGATACCTGTGTTTTCACTTTCTATAACTTCTGAATGTGAGGATGTGTTGTATTAAAATGTTTACCAAGATTGTCCCTATTATTATGGAGAAAGCAGTATTTAACTATTGTTACTTTTGGGGAACCAGGGAGATAGGTCAAAGCAAAATGTGCTTGTGCCAGTTCTGACAGGGACTAAAATCATGTCAACATCAGGCCATCAATTCAAGAAACCAGTATTTATTTTCAAAGCACAGTTTAAATAAGCCATAATTTTATATATATTGTATATAAAATTGTAATGAAATTAAAAACTGGAAAAATTTGCAATACTCTCACTAAGTTAATTTGGAGCATTTTGGGTGCACCATCTATTCCATATGTTGAGTACAGTTGCTGATTGTTGACAGGCAGATTTCTGGAATTGTATTTGTTTTTATTAAACCAGGTCCTATTTTATTATTAGTAATAACATTAAACACAATAACTGTGTTGTTACTACTTTCATTACTACATCTGAATAGATCCTCCTACAGTGGGATTGATTGTATAGTAAGATCCTTACAAATATATTTTAAGCATACTTTGGTCATTGACATATTTCATCAGATATAATATATTCATCAAATATGTATCTCAATTAATTTTGCCAATTTGCAAAAAAAATTCACCCCACCTCTTATTACTTCATTTCACATCAAACTAAATAGAAAGGAGTAAGGTTATTTTTCAAAATATTCATCTTTATAACAAAACCCGATAAAAATGATGAGTAAAAAAGTACGAATAGAGAATAAATTAATGTATGATGCATTGCACCATGAAAAGATAATCTTTAGGTTGACTTTTGCCAATTCTACTGTTATGTATGTCAAGTTTCTATGGCACTTTCAAACATGTAAATAATTAAACTAATGCTGCAAAATTTATTTATTTTTATTTATTTTATTTATTTTGATTTGTCAATCGCTTACAAGATAATAGGTATAAGTATATACATAGTTATGAATACATGAAATGAGTACATATAAGAAAAATAAAAGAAACAATAGGACAGGGATGGTGGGCACGTTGGTGCGCTTATGCACGCCTCCTACAGACCTCTTAGGAAAGGGGTGAAGTCAATAGTAGACAGTCTATGGTTAAAGTTTTGGGGGTTTGGAGAAGAAAGCACAGAGTCAGGTAGAATATTCCAGACATTGACTACTCTGTTGCTGAAGTCGTATTTCCTGCAATCAAGTTTGGTGCGGTTAACCTTGAGTTTGTATCTATTGTGTGCTCTTGTGTTTTTATGATTGAAGCTGAAGAATTCATTGACAGGTAGTGTATGATTTTATACAGTGTATGATTTTATATACCATACTTAGATCAGACCGAAGACGGCATAATTCAAGGTTTTCTAGGTCTAGAATTTCAAGTCTGGTGGCATAAGTTATTCTACAACGAGTAGAGGAGTGGAGAACTCTTCTTGTGAAATATTTCTGGATTTTCTCAACTGTACTAATATCAGATACGTAATGTGGGTTCCAGACTGATCAGCTGTATTTGAGTATTGATCTAGCAAATGTTATGTATGCTCTAGTTAGTAGTGTAATATTACCAGAGAAAAGGCTATGTAGGATAAGGTTAACAACTCTTAATGCCTTTTTGGCTATGTGTTAGAAATGTAAGTCGCCTAACAGCTATTTGGGTTGGAAATATATAAATCAGGATAGACATTTTAAAACTGTATCTTTAAAAAAATGCAAAACTGTACTTGGGTGTGGTTTCTCAAACGGCCATAAGACGGAGCCAGAAACCTGGGTTGTCTTAGTTTTAGTCTGAGAAGAAGTCTCAGTGAGTCTCTGTTTCCGTTAGAGAGTATTGCTGTTCCTCCATTTTTCCTTCTAAATTAACTGATATTCTTGGATTTGATGTAAGTCTGATACTGAACTGTTTTTGACACTGGACTTTGTTATTGGATTATCCCTGGACTAAAAACTGACTTATCTTACCTGTGAATGACCTATTTTGAACTGCCTATTTTGAACTTTGCTTAAACCTTTATTGAAAGTAAAACCTACATTTACTGTACAGTGTATCTGTGTGCTATGTGTGTATTATTCAAACACTACTCTAAAATACATCTCCCTGTATGGGCTCGTTCTCCTAACGGGGAATTACCTCAACACTATGTAGTTACAGTGGGCTCTAGCACTTAGATCATTAGAGATGAGTACTCCAAGGTCCTTTACAGAGCTTGGATCATCAACGAGGTCTTGACTATTCAATTTATATTTTATTTTCTGATTTCTTTTTTTTGCAAATATGTAACACAGAGCATTTATTTGTTGAGATTTGAAGTTGCCATTTGATTGACCATTCTGATACATAGTCAAGATCTTTTGGAAGGGTAGCAGTATTGTCTGTGGTATTGAACAGCTTTACATCATCAGCGAAGAGAATGCAGTTGCTCTTAATATGATCACAGAGGTAATTTATGTAGAGTATGAAGAGGGTTGGTCCTAGAACACTACCTTGGGGGACTATTGACAGGTACAGAATTTGATAGGATGCTCCCAATTTGGATCATTTGTTGTCTGTTTGACAGGAATGCTTCTATCCAGTTATGCAGTTGTCCAGAAACACCATAAGATTTTAGTTTTAGGAGTAGTTTGTCGTGTACCACTGAATCAAAGGCTTTACAGAAGTGTATGTAGATGGTGTATATTGTTTTGCCCGATCGAGTTGTGTAGTCCATATATTTTTGCAGTGTAAGAGTTGCAGATTACAGGATAGTCTTTTTTTTTTAAACCAAATTGTTTATTAGAGAGTAGGTGGTTTGTCTCTAAGTGGAGGATAATGGATTGGTTAATAATTGCTTCCATGACTTTACAGGTGATGCAGCATAAGGAGATTGGTCTGTAATTTTCAACTAGGCTGGGGTCTCCCTTTTTGAAGATGGAGATGACTGTAGCTTATGACCATAGGTTAGGCAAGGAGCTGGTCCTGAAAGATTTTTCAAAGATTATGCTTAGAGGTTCTGCTATGGCTTTTTAAAGAAGTAGGCACATATTCCATCCAGTCCAATAGACAGAGAGGGTTTTAGATTGCATAGTGCTTTTTCAACATTGTCTTCTGTAAAATCAATATGTAAAATGTACCACTTCTTTTCTATTTATACAGAGAGTCCTTGACTTACGACCACAATTGAGCCCAAAAATTATGTTGTTAAGTGAGACATTTGTTAAGTGCATTTTTCCCATTTTATGACCTTACTTGCTTCCGATATTGAGTGAATCACTGCAGTTGATTAGTAACCGGGTTAAGTGAATCTGGCTTCCCCATTGACTTTGCTTGTCAGAAGGTCAATAAAAATGATAACATGACTCTGGGACATTGCAATGATCATAAATATGAACCAGTTCCCAAGCATCCATATTTTGATCACATGATAATAAAGAGGCTGCAAAGGTTGTAACTTTCATTTTTGTCACATTGAACATTTGAAAAATCACTAAACAATCTGTTGTAAGTCAAGGACTACCTGTATTGTATAGCTCAAAGTTGAAAACTGATAGTTTTGAAATATCTGGATGTATTTTGTCTTAATGAAGAGGGAAGTATTCTTTCTTTTAGTGCCTTCTCATTTTTTATCTTAATAAAGTTTAGATTTATTACTCAATTTAAAAAAATAAAATGAAATCAAGCCCACAGATGTAATTTATGAAGCTCACAATTTAGAGCCATTAGCACTCATTTATAATGATTTCAGAAAATGAGTTGTGTAGTCAAGTAGTCAACCAATCATTAACTCACTGTTTTCTCTACATGGAAAATTATAGCAGCTTTTTGGGCAGCCTCATATATGTTAAAACTGGAGTCCAACTGTTTAAAAATTCTACAGCTCTTTTGAAACTAAATTGATTTGGAGAGCAATAAAACTTAGATATAATTATGTAACTTTAGTTCATTTTTTCCTGCTTGTGGGGCTTTTTAATCATGATATATAAAAGGACATTTGTTGACATCATGAAATTTTTATTAAACTTTAAGCTTTTCTTAAATATTGCTGTATTTTAAGGTAAGAATTTTTTTGCAACTTCCTATCTTACGGTTTCATTTATTTAATGAAATTTTAATTTATGTATTTTTCAGGATAAACTCTTTGAACAGTGAAATAATAACAACAAATAGTAAATCCATAATATTCTCTTTTTTTAGATGCAGGAATTACGGAATGCAGAAGGAACTCAGTATAATTCCCACCCCCAGATAGCAGCCATGAGGCCCAGGGTCCAGCCTGGAGACATGAGACAACCAGGAATAATGCAACATGGGCAGCTGACAACTATTAACCAGTCACAACTAAGTGCTCAACTTGGTTTAAATATGGGTGGAAACAATGTTCCTCACAACTCTCCATCTCCCCCTGGTAGCAAATCTGCTACTCCTTCACCTTCCAGTTCAGTTCATGAAGATGAAGAAGATACATCAAAGGTATGACCAACCTTTTAAAACAGTGGTTTTTGCACAATACAAATGTTAAGCATAATTTAATAAATTTACTTTGATTTTAAAGTTTAAAATTTTAAAACTTTAATCAGTTTTAAATGCCTTTCTTCAGGTGTGATACCATTTATAAATTCTATAGTCAAAGCATTATAACTGAGGGAAGATTTCCTCTCAATAAACTTGCTTATACAGTATGCCTCCATGCTGTGTAAACATGTTGATTGTTTCTTTTTTTCAGCCTCATTCCATTTTAATTAAGCATAAATACTTAATCTTTTGCAGTTCAAAAATTTTCTTCTATGTTACTTCTCATTTTTCTTTAATAGGAAGCCTGCTAAATATCTTCATAGACATGCTTGACCATAAATATTATAGCATTCTTTCCAATTCCACTGTTCAACAAGTTCATATCATTCCCATAGAATTCTCTAGATTGCTCCTACTGGCATTTTTTTACATCAGTTTCTTTTCACTTCATTGCTTTTATTTTTAATTCAATTTAAACTGCTGGAAGCAATTTAATTAACCTTCACACACTTCCCCAAACACTTTTTATTTCTGTCAGAACTGGTGAATATTTTTACCTTCTTTCATTTTGACTGTTCCTTGGTATCTTTTGATTACAGTCTTTGTCACTTTTTTTCTCTCTTTTAACATACTATAATAAGTTTTCTCATCTTCATTTTGTGAAGCAATCATTGTCATGCATTCATCATTTCTGAACTGAACTGCAGTGTACTGCAATGTATGGGACTACTTGTGAAGACTCATTTAGAGTGGGTCAGAAACTACAAAAGTACAGAATGCAGTTAACCCCTTGTTACTATAAGCTAATCACCACACACTAGCTTGTATTATGGGCTGTTACATCCATCTTTATCATCCTTCCACTTCTTTCCACAAGACATCATTTTTATATTTGCCTTTGTAACAGAATTCTTTTCATTCTATCCCAGCCAGCTTTCATATACTTTTCACATTTTTGCTTGGAGTGGCTACTAGCTAATTATACTGCCACTATCTTATCTTTCAGGAAGCACCTCATCAAGTATACACTCCCTTGGTGGGGCTCTCACAATCTATACCATGGGTGTCAAACTCACCGTATCATATTGCCCTTACATGATGTTTTTTTCCTTCATGGAGCTGGGGAGGCCATGGCCTGCGCATCACGCATCCGGCCCGTGAGCTGCCAGTTTGACACCCCTGATCTATACTGTCTTTCTGATGTTGGGGGAAGGACATAAACTAATTGCTGTAATACCACTTACTGGCCATCAAGATATGTGCCTGAAGGATTCAGCCCTTCCTTAAAATGAACTTCAGAAAAGATAAACAAAACCAAACTTTATTTCTAAAAAAGAAAGTATAAACCATTTTCATTCTTCTTGACTTCATTAATATGCTCAGATTCACTGTTGAAGAAGGTAAATGCAAACCTGTTCAAATCATAGGCCAACAGCAGCTTTAAAAGAAAAATAATAATAAAGTAATGTTACTAGTACACTACAGGAAAGTTCTGGTCTGTTACAAATAATAAAGAAATATATGGTAAAGAAATTGGAGTAGGTTATTAAAATTTGAATTGGCAAAGCTTTTATCTCTTCATGCACAATCTGCAATATGCATAGAAGGCTGAAGTGTACCTAAGTATAGACCTTGTATATTATATAAATAAAAGAGGAGATATTTGTCTAGTACAGAGCAATAAACAACAAAGTTTTAAAGCATTTTTTTTTCTTTTTCTTCAGATATAGTAGTATATAAAGCAACTATCATTCTGATTCAGTTATCCTAGATTTTCTTTTTTCCATAAAATTCTAATCTTTAATTTGAGCTTTAGGGAATCAGAGTCAGCTTCTCTTTTTTCAGTTTCAATTGAGCACTAGTTGCTTTGATTTAAAAAGAACAAAAAGTTTTTTTATTCCCCCCCGCAAAAAAAATAAAAGAGAGAGGGGCATCTTTGTACGTAACTGAGATCATCTCTCTCTTATGAAAAAAGAGTATTCTCTAAAAAGTATTTTCTATTTTTATCTATATGCTTACTGGCTCTGAATGTCAGACTTGCAGCATATTTAATCAATTTAATTTAAAATCAGATTTTTTTTTTGGAGTGTTACCCTCAGCATTCCAGCCAAATCAAATGTGATGTTTTCTTCCACCCACACCCCCAACCCACTTTCGATTTAGTTTCATAAATGAAAAATCTAAATTTATCAATAAGCAACAGATAGCAGCAGTTATTTCTAAATACCTTTAAAGTTGTCTAATATCTACTTTCTAATTTTCCTCACACTTAGGTTTGACCTCTTAAATATTACAAGTACTGCCTTCCAAAACAATTCATTATTTTGGTTCATTGAACATACATATTCTGGTAATGCTATTTATAATTGTGACATGCTAGACACATGATATTTTCACAAATATGTATTCTTAACTAGATAGATGGCTCTCTCTTTCATGGGTATTTAAATTTCATATATGAAAGGATTTCATGGAATTTAGAGAACAGGGTATGAAAGGATTGTCAACAGCAAATGTTAACTAAGTGAAACATGATCACTAAAACTTTCCTATTCTGTTTTTTGTAGCAGAGAACTTAACAGTTTACTTTATTTTAAGTAGAATTTTATGTTGTTTGCTTAGTCTGTTATGCAGATGGTACTTGAATTAAAATCTATTTTAATCTAATAAGAATGAGAATTTTTTAAAACAATTTTCCATCTGTCTCCATTTTGATAGCTAGCACAAAAATATGTATAACTGCTGATTGGTTAGAAGCATAAGATTCCAAAATCACTTTCTTTAGTTTCCAAGTTATTAATGTGAAATTAGTTTTAACTTCCTTGTTTGGAAAAAAAAAATCCTGGACAAACAACTCAAATCTAGTGAATCATTCATCCTGCCTCAGAGATAGCAGTTTTCCTATCTAGCCTTCTGTGCATGACAATAGTTACTTGGTAAGTAACTATTCTAAGTAGCTGAGTAATTGCCAGCTAAATATGTACCTTTGTGCTGCAAATTTATTATCCTGATCCTAAAGAATGAACATGCTTGTTGTGATGTTAATAAAAAGTGATGAGACTATCATGTTTACCGATCCGATCATGAAATCCGTAGAGGAGGTGGTGTTGCTATCTTCTATAAAAAGTCCTTACATCTAAAAAACATCCAAGTTACCCAAGAGCTTACTCTTCCTGAGACCATTATCTGTGAACTGACTTTAAATATCACATTTCAGTTCTTACTATGTTACAGAGCACCTGATTATAACATCGAACATGCAAACAAGCTAAATACACTACTAACATGGGCAGCATCCTCCCCACACACTTTTATCTTTCTTCGTGACTTCAATCTATATCATATCAACTGGACTCTAAACGAATGTGCAACTGAACCCATACATGCAACCTTCTACAATGCTGTAACAAATCTGGGACTGGAACAACTAGTAATCAACAATACTAGGCTTAACAATTGCTTCGATCTCATCTTCTGCAATAGTTTGAATTCAATTTACGGAATACAAATTAAAGAACCCTTTTCCATCAGTGACCACAATATGATTGACTTTTGTCTTAACATACGTCCATACAAAAATCCTCACAATGACAAAATCCCCAATTATAACATCAAAAAAGGCAACTATGATCTTATAATCAGCGATCTCTCTTCCCTTGATTGGCAATTTCTATTCACTGGATGCAATACTGTTGAAGACCATTACAACATATTCTTACTAGAAATCAAAAGAGCCATTAAACTATATGTACCAATGACAACTCTCAAAACCAGGAAAAACAAATTACCCATAACAATAAGAAAGCTTCAATCCAAAAAGAGATCACTTTAGCAAAAAACAAAAAACAAATCTGGTCATGTTGCCAACTTCAAAAGCCGATACAAAAATCTATGCTACCAGATAAAAACTGAATGCACCAATTATCACATTAAACAAGAGGAAAACCTTTTATGCACAAATTCCACCCGTGCTTTCTACAATTTTGTAAACAACAAATTAAAAGACCTAAGGTCCATCCCACCCCTGAAAGGACCTAATGGCAAAGACTGCAATGACGACACCATCAAAGCAAACCTCTTTAACACATTCTTTGGCTCAGTATTTGTAAACAGCAATGGATCAAGCCCAGTACTTCCTAGTTGAACCACAGACAACTACAAGTATCTAATACATATCGATTTTACAGAAATTGTTGAAAAGCACTGCTCAATCTAAAACCATCCCTATCTATTGGACCGGATAGAATATGTGCCTACTTCTTAAAAAAGCTATCCACTGCCATAGCTGAACCTCTAAGCATAATCTTTGAAAAATCTTTCAAGATCAGCTCCTTGCCAAAACTATGGTCACAAGCCATGGTCATCCCCATCTTCAAAAAGGGAGACCCCAGCCTAGTTGAAAATTACAGACCAATCTCCTTATGCTGCATCACCTGTAAAGTCATGGAAGCAATTATTAACCAATCCATTATCCTCCACTTAGAGACAAACAACCTATTCTCTAATAAAAAAATTGATTTCAGAAAAAAACTATCCTGTAATCTGCAACTCTCATGCTGCAAAAACATATGGACTACACAACTCAATCAGGGCAAAGCAATAGATGCCATCTACACAGACTTCTGTAAAGCCTTTGATTCAGTGGTACATGACAAACTACTACTAAAACTAAAGTCTTATGGTATCTCTGGACACATACATAACTGGATAGAAGCATTCCTGTCAAACAGACAACAAATGGTCAAAATTGGGAGTGTCGTATCAAATTCTATACCTGTCAATAGTGGTGTCCCCCAAGGCAGTGTTTTAGGACCAACCCTCTTCATACTCTACATAAATGACCTCTGTGATCATATTAAGAGCAATTGCGTTCTCTTCGCTGATGATGTAAAGCTGTTCAACACCACAGACAATACTACTACCTTCCAAAAAGACCTTGACTATGTATCAGAATGGTC